AGCTTGCCAAGCGACGGAAACACACCCACCCGCCCAGTGGGTCCCAGAACATTCGGAAACTATTTCACTTGACATAGAAATCCTCAAGCCAGGACCTACGAGCATCTTCAAACAGATAGGCTCCATAACTCTTTCAAACAGTGAAGCAGAGATGGCCGTATAAGTTTCTGTCGCGACGCAAGGCAGGACATGACATGTTCTGAGATGTCGTGAAAGAGGGACCGAGCCCAGGGCTGCGCAAGACCAGAAAGCCGCTGAAAGGCTGCGGCATTTCTCTGTGGGGTTCTCTGGGGGTGGACACTCCTGCCACGGAAACGCAGATTCACGCAACTCTCCGTAAGCGCAGATTCCTACGACCAAAAACGCGGATTAACTAGTGCAACTTGAAAGCGCGTGCAACCACGAAACATGTACTCATGCTGACAAAAGCACTTACTCATGCTGGCAGTACTGCGTGTTCATACAACCAGAAAACGCGGAATCGCGCAACAGGAAAACGCAGACACGCGCAACCATGGTTTAGGGTTTAGGGTTTAGGGTTTAGCCTAAATCCTAAACCGCAAACATTTGGCTGCGTACCTTAAGAGAGACGTAATTCCTGCCACCATATTTACCCGTGCTTTTTGGAATTTCATCACTTTGATAATCAGAGCCCATGGGCAGAAGTCACACTGCGCCAACACCTTCGAGGCCATTGCAATACTTCGTTTTAGTCGGCGCCGCGCTGCTAGCATATATGCGGACATGTGTGAAAGATCTAAGGTTGAACGTAGCGCTTAGGGCAAAGGGCTTCGAAAACAACTTTGACGCTTATAACAAGCTAGGCTGGATGACTCCGGTTCTGTGTGAACGTAGCATAACACATGTTACCATGCCACGCGACATTTCCTGTTGCAAGCGGTCCAACGTGATTGCTCGTAGCTGGATTCCCGCTGAGTTGTAAACCCGGCAGAAGAACGATATTTTGGATTTTCGTCGGCTGTTACACTGGTGCTATTGGCACCTAGTACTGGCGTCGAGCTTGAGTCGTACAGATACAGCTTCTTGCTACACTGAGTGCTTTTGATTGTTTCTTGATGTTAAAATGTTCGTTACTACGACCCCCGTGTTTTTCGGTTGATTTACACGACATGATCACCCTGAATGCAACTAGAACATATGACCAGCGTAACATCCACTGCAGGGAAATCTCGTGCGCGACAGCGTCAGAATAACCAACTGAGGGCAAAACACTCACGTTGCTCTTCTTCTTCCATCAGAGCCGCGATGTGCTCGCCCACCTCACGACCGCCAAGGTGTTCAAACTGGCTGTTTTCCCTCGCCAGCGTCCAAACAGTTGCGACGGCGGGACAAAGCTATGAAGAGAACGTCTGGTTGGCCTCGCTGGAGAATTGCCACTGAAAGACACGTGGTCGCACGGAGATGCAGGCACTCTTTTTCGCGTGCATTCAACTGCACCACAGGCAGTGGAGGTTCTGTCACAGCCAGACTCAAATCCAGCTCGGCATGATCTTCACGCCTTGTGTCAACCGGGACTGCCAGGACAGCAAAGACGGGGCGGTGGCCATCGACATGGCAGCCGCTAAACGCTTGAACGAAAAGGTATGAAGCGGCTTCGGCATCCGACGTCATGCTCAAAGGCACCTTGACGAAGGACCTTGCTCAAAGATTTCTCGATAAACCTCATTATGCACTGTGACAGTACGACCCCACAGGAGAAGGACAAGATATTCATGTATCGAATTACCTCGATGGATTGCGCTGAAGAGGGTGTGTATATGTATATTGCAAGGTTCATGATTGGAATGTAATGTATAAAAGAGGGCATCCTGAAAGTTTGTCTCAGGCGGCTTGACTTAACGGAACGGTGTAGAACTCTCAGCGTGTCATGAAGGACGGACTACGGACCCATTTCGAAGAAGGAAATCCAAAGACTAGTTCAAAAAATGATTATGCTACCAATGAAGATGCTGATGAAATTAAAGTTGATAGAGAAACGCACACTGAAAGGCCAATAACTCATGCCAGCTTGTGTTTTGTTGAAGCCAAAAGCGCATAAACCCTAACTATAGGTTTTCCTGCGGATTTGATCTTCTTATTTGTGATCGAGCCAACGTAGGCATGGTCAAAATCACTAACTGTTGTCGGAAGATGACCCTAAACCCAAAACCCTAAACCATAAACCCGATTACTTAAGGAGTGTATCTTCATTCATCAGTCAGGACCGCCCTGCAGTTTCGGGAATATTCTTTGATTAAGGGGTAGTGGGGCTCTTTGGGTCTAATGTAGGGGTGTGGGGTTTGAGGTACAGGGCTGTTGGAACTCGTATTATTAAGCGATAGTTATGGAGGGGTTCTTGGCAAGATTTTGTGGGGCTGCTGTATCACTACTATCCGACCCCCCCCCCCCCCCGCCGAATATCAAAAATACCACCAGTAAAGCTATGTTGTAGTCTTAGCCGATGAAGAATATTGAATAATAGGTGGCTCCTGGAATAACCCTAAACCAACGCTAAACCAACGCTAAACCCAAAGCCCCAAACCCTAAAACCTAAAGCCTAAACCCTCAACTCTTGGTAGCCCTAAACCCTAAACCCTAAACCCTGAACCCTAAACCCTGAACCCTAAACCCCTAAACCCTAAACCCCTAAACCCTTGGGGGGGGTTCTTGGGTCCATTTGGTCACCAAGGGTCGGGGTGCCCACGTCGAACATCCAGACCGAGGCGTGTTCTTGGCTTGGGGGGCGGTTCGGCCCAGGGATTTAGGGTTAAGGGTTTAGGGGTTAGGGTTTAGGGGTTAGGGTTTAGGGTTTAGGGTTTAGGGTTTAGGGTTTAGGGTTTAGGGTTTAGGGTTTAGGGTTTAGGGTTTAGGGTTTAGGGTTTAGGGTTTAGGGTTTAGGGTTTCGGGTTTCGGGTTTCGGGTTTCGGGTTTCGGGCGCTATTTCCTTGGAGGGGTGCTGGTCTAGGTTTTGAGCAAGTTGTCAGAAACCAAAGCAGTGTAAGGTTGCCTGTTACCTGCCCAGCAACTAAGTGAATTAGGTAGGGTCCCCCTTGCAGGTACTGTTTTGATTGTCATGGTTTGGCCCCATCCTGTGTTCTCACTCCTACAAGAAGGAAAGCAGCATCGAACACATCCGAAAAGCGACAGGCGATGTCATATGTGGTGTGTCACTTGCACAAGACGACGAGGCAAGAAGCACAAGTGCTCCAAGCCTAGAACTATCCCAAGAGATCAGCAGCGAGCGACTAGACATGCTTCTTATCTAGGATGGCCCTAAACACCCTTTGAAACAATGTTCCTGAGTATGATCCCCTTCAACCCCGCAAGGGAAAATATAAAATGTCCCTAGAGCCTGCCTAGTTTCAAGAAGCATGGGGTTTCGCCTTGAGGCTTCTAGGGCTTAGGGTAAAACCCTGAACCCCTAAGCCTCTAACCCGAAAAGCCCTAAAACCCTCAACCCAAACCCGAAAGCCAAAACCCTGAAGCCCCTCACGTCCTAAACCCCCTTTGGCTCTCGACCTCCCAGACGCTAGTTCCCCCCCACTTGGGGTTTAGGGTTTAGGCTCTAGGGTTTGGAGTTTACGGTTTAGAGTGCAAAATAGGTCGATTACCACAGATCGCCTAACGTGATCATGCAGCCCAAACCCTAGCCCTAAACCCTAACCCTAAACCCTAAACCCTAAACCCTAAACCCTAAACCCTAAACCCTAAACCCTAAACCCTAAACCCTAAACCCTAAACCCTAAACCCTAAGCCCCAGACCCCGGTGCAACCTTCCTTCTTCTTGTAACCCCTCAACCCGCGGGGGACCCTCAGCTGCACCCCTAGATATCCGAAACCCTAAGCTCCTAAACTCTAAACCCACACGATGTAATTAGAAGACTGAGCCCGAAACCCTGGACCCGTAGGCCATAAACCCCAAGTAGGTAGGGATCCTAAGCTCCAGTCACAAACCTAAACCCTAAACCCGAAGTCTTTGCCCCAGGCGTCACCGTATCCACTCCCTTCGGCCGCGCCCGTGCGCCAGGCGCTGAGAGCCTGACAGGATCCCCGCACCCTAAACCCTAAACCCTAAACCCTAAACCCCCAGAGAATCCTGCAGGGAACCCCACAGAAAGTCCCACAGGTAACTGCGTACTTCGATCATCCCCACCCCGAAGCTAACCTGTGTGGGGGAATCTCCACGACAGAGGAATGCAGGGGTTTAGGGTTTAGGGTTTAGGGTTTAGGGTTTAGGGTTTAGGGTTTAGGGTTTAGGGTTTAGGGTAAGTAGTAAGCAGGCATCTACTCTAAGCCCTGAAGCCTATAAACCCTACTCCGTTAGCTGGATGTCCTGCAGAATATGTAGACTTTTCAAGCACGCGCCTCACTTGGAAGCAGACGGTGGTCTGCCGCACATCACCGCGGGCTCTGAGCAAGTCCGCCTGGGATTGCTCTTTGTCCTTCTCTTTGCTGTAGCCCATGCGCAATGCGCAGGACCACAGGTAACGGTGAAACTTGTCTTGAGCCGAGACTGCCAGTGCACGAACCTGCGGCAATCGCATCACACGCGGACAGAAATGAACAGCCATGCTCCAGCAAGTTTCCAGAACCCTTAACCAATTTTAAAGAACGGAGGTGCCTCAGCTGAACTTGGGTACAGAACGGGACTTAGGGGGGTTCGAGCTGCGCTTCGTAGTTTTCCGAGTCGACTCTGCCCAGTCTCAGAGCTACAAGGACGAATAGAAGAACGGGTGAGTCTGGATCAACGGAAGCAGCTACACATGCTGCAGACCCCTAGACACTGCCTAAATAGTAAGCCCGCGCTTCTTCAGTGGAGTGCCTGCATGTCCTCTATGTTCTTCGTGGCATGGGACCCTAAACCATAAAACCCTAAACCCTAAACCCCAGAATCCAAACCCTAACCCTATACTAAAAACCTAAAACCCAAAACCCAAAACCCAAAACCCAAAACCTAAAACCTAAACCGGGGACCAGGCACTACAAGCTTGGAGCCCGACCACAGCGCGTCCTTGAAGGTCAGCTCGAAGGAGACCCGCTCATTCGCACTGACAGGTGCTAGCCCTAAACCCCAAACCCTAAACCCTAAACCCTAAAAACCCTAAAAAACCCTAAACCTAAACCCTAAACCCACTCCGGAGTCTATAACGCCTCTGAATAAACGAGCTTTACTAAAAACCGATTTGGGATTTCAATGGCAATGAAAGGAGCGGGAGTCTCTGAGATGAGCTACCAGAGGCGTAGTACAACAAGAACCCACACTTAGTTGCTGAGTTCAGAAGCCCCAAAAAACGTGTACACTTTCAGTTCTATAGATCCCAAAAAGTGTGAAGTGTGCTCACTCAGCTATTAAGCACAACAGGCAACCATTGCTGGACTTCAGGAACGTTCAGAGTTTAGGGTTAAGTGGCACCACTTTGGGCACGCCAGTTGCGGATTTCCTTGAAGGTTCATGGGTCGTTAGAAGTAGGGCTACTTAGGTAACTTGTATTATAACGTTCGCCAAGGTACCTGAACCCTAAACCCTGCACCCTGCACCCCAAACCCTAAACCCTCGGCCCCTAGGCCCCGAAGGGGCTAAAGCCCTGAAGCCCCACACCCTAAAACCCTACATGAACCTTGAACCCTGGGGCCCCACCTAAAGCCCTAAACCCTGAGCCCTGAAGCCGGATTAGGGTTTAGGGTGTAGTGTTGAGGGTTTAGGGTTAGGGTGTAGGGTAAAAAGCCTTCCTTACTTACTCGCTGACCTCTCTAGGCGAAAGCATGGAAAATCTTCTGCGGGGACCCTCGACCCTTTCATCCTTGCTTGAAGGTTCATGGGTTGCCAGAAGTGGGGTGTAGGGTTTAGGGTTTAGGGTTTAGGGTTTAGGGCTTAAGGCTGCTATATAAGTACTCATGGACCTTCAAGCAAACTCTAAATTTTGTAACCGAAAGAGCAAGAAAGAGAGCCTGCCTGGCTGATCTGCCAGCCAACACTTCGTGGCCGTTAGGGGAAACGAAACGGTCCACGTCCTGCGGCCGTTTTCATAGGGGGTTCAGGGTTGAGGTTTTTCAATTGCAGCAGGCTTGGTTCTGCCATCATGACAAATGAAGAAAACCCTAAAACCCTAAAACCCTGAAGGCCTAAACTCCGAACCCTAGACCGGAATTCTTAAACCCAAGATTTCAACGGTAGTTACTACATTAGCTCCCCAACTGCCTTACAGACCCTAAACCCTAAAAGTTGTGGCTTCCGACCCAAGTAGGTGCCCCACTTTTTGCGGAAAGCCCGACATTAGGCCACCATTTAGGGTTTAGGGTTTAGGGCTTAGGGCACAACATCATTGCTCCAGGCTGGGCCTTCCCATACTTCCGCCTCCACTTTTGCTCCTCTGTCTCCTCGCCAATTGGCTGCTTACGGCTTAGGGTTTAGGGTTTATTGAAATTAGTAAGGGTTCAGGTCCGGGGAAGTTTCGAGGAGTTTCAAGGAGTTTCGTTTTTTAGATTTTTTCCTTAATAATTTCAAGTTACAGGGGGCTTGAGGGTTTAGGGTTTAGGGTTTAGGGTTTAGGGTTTACGGTTTAGGGTTTCGCGCTTGGGGTCAAAGGACTGGATTTCGGGATTTCCGGGGGCTCTGGCTCAAACCTCAAAAGCCAAACCCTGAGCCAAACAAAATCGTCCTCCTGATTTGCGCGGGCGGCAGCCTTGACTTTGGGCTTCCTGCGTGCAGCGTTTTTAGGGTTTAGGGTTTAGGGTCTAGGGTCTAGGGTTTACGGTTTAGGGTTCATGGTCAGGGGGCCCATGCATGTCAAGTGTTGGGTAGCTGCCACCGGCCGCGGCAAGGAGAACAACACCGCTGAGGCACAAACCCTTCAGGCTTGCGGCTTAGGAGGGTTTAGGGTTTAGGGTTTAGGGATTTGGGTTTAGGGATTAGGGTTTAGGGTTTAGGGTTCAGGGTTCAGGGTTGAGGTTTCTGGCTTTGGGGTTTTCGGGCTTCGGGTTTTAGGGTGAAATGCCAAGCGCTACACTGCACAATCCATCACTTCCCCCACCGCACTCCCACGACCAGCCATGCCTGGAGGGTCAGCTCTCAAGAATGAGGTCCCTTTCTGAAACGGGTTACGTACTCCAAACCCTAAACCCGAAACCCTAAACCCTAAAGCCTAAAGCCTAAAACCTGATACCACAGCCCGAGAAGGAGTCTGGCTTAGGGGTTGGCTTGTTCCATGTTTTTGATTCGACTTAAAGGCTGTCCGAAACCGCCCCGCGTGCAAATGACGGGGCTTCGCTACCGAATTGCAGTGTGCGGTAGCCTTGCGCCCCCCCCCCCCCCAACCCCAAACTCGAAACACGAGTCCGGGACCCAAGTCCTCAAATCATTTTGGGGGTGGCTTCGGGCTTCCGGCTTAGGGCTAAGCAGGATCTTGGGTGTGTAGGGCTGACCACTTACAGCAACCGGTGCAGTCCTGATGTAACGTTGCTCGCAAAGCTCTTGGTACAAGGGCAACGCCTGCAAAGGGCAATTTCAGGTGGGCAGAGTCCCTCCCCTTATAGAACCCTTCTTTCTTCCGAAATTCAGACTAAACTCCAGCTGTCTAAGGCAATATTTTTAGGAGGAAAAGAAGGAACCCCTCACGGGACAGCCGCCCTTGTAGGAGACTGCATAAGGGTTACATCCGACAACGACTCAAGAAGACTATGTATTTGGGCTGTCGTGTGGGGGTTCCATGTTTCCCTTTCGAGAATTTGAGTTTGAGCTTGAGCACCTATACATGCAGCCCGTACTCCAAAATAGGGGGGGGGGGGGTGGGATGAATTCCTCCCCTACACCCCCCCTTATACCCCTACCCCGACACCTCCTCACCCCCGACACCCCCTGCACCCCACGCACCCCCTTAGACCTCGACACTTTGCACCTCTGCAGCCCACCGCCTGCACTACCCCTACACATGCACGGCGCAACTCCCCTGCGGCCCACCCTCTACACCCCTCACCCTACTATGCACACTCCTCCACCACCTACCTCAAGCTGAGTTTTTTGGGTTTCGGGTTTAGGGTTTAGGGCTTGGGTGTTAAGGCTCTGCCTGGTCGAAGACCGATTCCTCCTCGTCTGCTTCGCCTGCCACAGTACTGCGCAGACCTGCCAAAAGCGAACGACATCTCACGACTTTAAGAGCCACGCAATTTAGGGTTTTAGGGTTTATGCTGGCACCTGGATTGTAAACTTCTGGGCAATGGCCGTTGCCAAGCAAAAACACTTAACCACACATAATTGCTAGTAATTAGGACTAAAAGTTAAGAACACTCCCGTTTGTCCCAGCCGGCGCCGGATACAGCTGCTGTCACCGCCAAGACGAAGGTCGCCCCACGTCCAGCAGGACCGTAGCAAAAGCGCTGTGTAAGATGCACTCAGCTGAACCTGGACGTAGGGTCACCGCCCTTACATGGCCTGTCCCGCGCCGCAACAGATCCTCCCGCCAACGCTGCAACAATAGCGGTGAACCTTCCTGAGCCAGACGTTGGTGCTGTCACCGCCCTCCTCACACGCAAGCCGACACATCCGCCTGCCAACGCTGCAGCCCGATGCGTGTGCACCAAGGATGCATGAAACGCTCCGTTGGGCCTGCACACATTCAGGTGCTGCCACCGCCCACATTCCCATTGGCCCCACCTCGCTGTTGAACCTTCCTCAGCCGATCCTGCAGCGCTCCCCTATAGCAGACGGCACCGGTATATAAAAAGGGAGGGACCCTAACTTGCAAAAACTACCAGCAGCCCAGCTGCGGTTTTCCTCAAACCGAAACACCCGAAATAAATCCTGACAGGCTGGTCCCTGTAAATCAACCTGCCCCTGGAACGACCGGAGTCCTAGACATTGAGGGCTTGGGGCTTATTGATTAGGATTCCAGGTTTAGGGCGCGGCCTTCAATCTTCTGCAGCTCCGCTTTCCAGCGCTTCAGCTCCCGCTCCTGCTCCTTGAACGGTCGAACCCGAAACCCTAAAACCTCAACCTCAAACCCCAAATCGGATTTGAGGCTTCACGGCGCGTTCGGGCACATGGAGGATTAGGGGACTTTGGTTGAGTTACAACTGCCCGAAACAAGGACCCTGGCTCTAGCAACCCTCTTTATGGATAAGGCGACACCTCTCATGTTATATCAAGAAATTACCGAAGCTAGGGGCCCTAATCTCGAACACCCACCTTAATCCCTTTCTCCCCAGTATTCAACCTAATATTACATGATCCCCATACGGTCTAATATGACTATAATGGGAGTATTTAATATGAGGGGGTAGGCAGGGGTTTAATACTAAGGAGAAGTGATTACAGCTTCAAGGAAGGTCCGCCCCTAACCCCCCCCCACCCCCACTAAAAGGAGACGATTTTTCCCCTTCTAGCGAGGGTTTCGGGTTCAGGGTTAAGGGCTAGGGTTTAGGGCTGAGGGCTGAGGGCTGAGGGCTTAGGGTTCAGGGTTTAGGGGGACCAACCCGAATTCCTAAACCCCAATGTCAGAAACCCATTTGTCTTTGGGGCAATGTGGGAATTATTCGGGACATTGGCCCGCAACATTGGTCCATATACTGCATATATATATATATATATATATCCATATACATGAATATATACATAAAGGTAAAACCCTATCTAAACCCATTTAAGAGTTATATACATAAAGGTAAAAACCTAAACCCTTTTAAGGGTTTGGGGATCTTTTTTGGTTTCGGGTGGTCCTCCAGCAAAGGAGTGCACTTGGCGATGCCCCTGTCAATCTTCCCCGCCTGTAAGGTTTTGAGGGCCAAGGGTCTGCACTAAAGGGTTTAGGGTTTAGGGTTTAGGGTTTAGGGTTTAGGGTTTAGGGTTTAGGGTTTAGGGTTTGGGGTTTGGGGTTTGGGGTTTGGGGTTTGGGGTTTGGGGTTTGGGGTTTGGGGTTTGGGGTTTGGGGTTTAGGGTTTGGGGTTTAGGTTCAGCAGCTCCGGATCGGGCAGGTTAATCACAAAGTTATATTGACGGCTCTGATATATAACACCCACCCACCCAGAGAATCCCATAACATTGAGAAAATACAAAGTATTACTCCAAGCATACAACAAAGGGATACAGCTTCGAATTGCTCATAGCTCATACCTTGTCGTTCAAGCTGTACCTTTAAAATTCGCTCTTTAAGCACCTATGGTGGAAAGAGCGGACACCAAAAAACACCAAATTGTTTTAAACTCATGTTCTTGTCATTGCATCTCTTGCGCGATGCCTTTGCCTTGAAATTAACACAAATAAACACCTAATATTGTGAGCCTCAACTTCTGCCACTGCCTCTGCATCTCTTGCGCGCTGCCTTAGCCTTGAAACGCACGGACACAAACAAAACCTAATTTTGTTAACCTCGTTACAGGATTGTTTTGGGCCTGTTTCTTGTCGAGTTTGGCTGAGACAGGAGCCGATATGTTGCGGGACTTTTTTGGGGCCCGTTTTCTTGCCTCGAACATCAGCCAGACCTAACCCTTGCTTTCTTAGCTGTACTTCATAGCCTCAAACCTGCGATGTGGGCACTCGGACAATCCCCTCCCCACCCTTGTACAACACACGACGGATTGCCTTGCTCACGGTTCTGAAACCCTAAACCCAGGCCTTGAGGGGCCTTGAGGCCCTCAGACCCTGATCCCCAAACTTTGAGGCCCTGGGACCCTAAACCCCAGGCCAAAACACCAGGCCTTGAGGCCTTGAAACCCTAGACCCCAGGCCCCAGGCCTTCCGGCCCTAAAACCCTAAACCCCAGGCCTTGGGCACGAATTGGCCTTGAAGCACGAACAGTTGGCCTTGAACCACGAACGACTGGCCTTGAACGAACAAATGGCCTTGAACCACGAAGAATTCGTGGTTCAACGCAAAAACCAACGGCTTGCCTTCAACCACGAACGATTGGCATTGAACCACGAACGATTGGCCTTGAACCACGAACGACTGGCCTTGAACCACGAAGCCATTAAAGTTTAAATAATATATGATAGAGAGGTTCAGGGTTTAGGGTGTAGGGTTTAGGGTGTAGGGTGTAAGGCTCCGGGCTGTTGTGCGCACAGAGTTTGCACGGCAGGTTTTGGGCATGTCTAACACAGGAAGCATCGCGGACAGGTTGCTCGACAAAGCCACAACAATTTGCTTCAACAACCACAACCTGTGCTCCCAGCTGAGCGAGTTGTTTGAAAAAGCCACCACCTGTGTAAGAGCGAAAAGAGACGCATTTTCGCCGGAAATGTGTAATGGTTGCGTTTGTAAGACCCAACAGATGACAAATTGCATGAACTGCATGAATAATTTAATTAGCCAAAAGTACAAACGAGAAGCATCTCTGTCATCGGTCTTTTCCATTACCCCTCAAGCCGCCTTTGGCGGCGGCGGCGGTTCCCGCAGCACGTGCTTGGCTGGCGGTGGGGCAGGCATCCGCCTCCCCCCTGGGCCCTCCACAAACCTCATCCTTTTCGGTGGAGGCACTACGACGCCCATGCCAGGCCGAATTCGCCTCTCAGACCTGAGCTGCAGCGATCGGGCTTGCAAGGAATCTTCGGAGGGCTGAAAGTCAGGTGCGAGATGGACAGCCCCTGCAAAGCCTCCCAGTCTGCGTCGCGGTGCGCCCATGCCGCCCGAGCGGGCCAGACCAGCTGGAGCTGCTCGCCTCGTGGCGGATACGAATTGCTAGAAGCACTGGGCGCAAATGCTCCCCAGATGAGGGCGCTTTTCGCAACCACGAGGGGCATTTGTACGGATGTGCCAAGCTCTTTTTTGTCAGCATGTTGTCGGGCCTTTTCAGGGCATTTGCCCTTTTTGGGGGAAGGTTTGGCTAACATGGAGCTCGCAGCCGTGGTTTTGCCGACGCATAACGGGGTGTTGTCACTTGGTTGGTACGTCAGCTTGTTTCTTTGGCTGGGCATGTGTGTGTTTTTTCCTTTTTGCATCTCTGTTGTTTTTGTGGCTTCTTGATTGGGTCTACACTCGCTTGTGACTTTTCTCCGCCTCGCTTGTGTGACTTTTTCTTGTCTCGTCGCTTGTGACTTTGCGAAAGCCTGCTTGTACCTTGTTTTTGCCTGCGTTGAGAGGCAAAACCGCAAGCCCAAGAACAAGGTTTGGGAATGTTCGGGCACATCCCCCCACTCAACCCGCCGTTGAAAGTGGTCGTTCGAAGCCACAAGCGGAGACTTCTGGGCACCTTGTGGAGGACTTGAGCTTGGGGCTTACCATCTGGATTGCTGTCTTGCAAGGACTTGGCGCCGAGCCCTGGTAGCAGGAAGCCTGCAAACCTGAGAGGCGTCTTTGCAAGCCTCGGCGACAGACAGCCATGAAGGGCACCTCAAGAGATGGGCCAATGTGGCCGGGCAGCTTAGACGCCGCGTGCTTCATCCCGGTCCTGCTTGTCATTTTCCGTTACTCGGCCTTGCCTGTCCAGAGAGCGCGTCCTCAAAACCTGGCTGCGCGCATGCAGCGGCTAGGGTTGTGATACTGGACAGACTTAGAAGACAGGGGATCCTGTTAAGAAAAAGTTGATAAAGAATCAAACGTGCAAAGTCGCCGAAAATCGAACGATCCGAGATTTGATTTCAGATCAAAACAAAATCGAACGGGGTAAGGAACAACAGAAATCGCCATGAAACTTGAAACCAAAAAAGCTCATCGAAAAATCGAATTCTCGGCTGTTCGATTTTCGAAACATCAAAAAATCGAACTTGTGGCTCTGGGGCAGGCTTTTCGGTCTTACGGGGGCCTTTCGGGACCTTTAAATTATCCTGGTCTTAAGGGTTTAGGGTTTAGGGAACCCTGCAGCACTAAACCCTGAACCGTAAACCCTGTGCGGCACGAAACCTAAACCCCTGGGGGCCTAAATCCTAAACCCAAAGCCCCTCAGCATGCTCAGGCCCAACTGGAGCCTCCCGCTGCCCCCCCCTCCGCCCCGGTTGGGGCCTGCTTGAAACAGAGCTGCGCGTTCTGCTTGAAGTCCTCCACACCCTAAACCCTAAACCCTAAACCCCCTCCGCGCCCAACTCCTTTCAGCTTCCTGGCTTCGGGGTTTGGGATTTGGGGATGTAGGGGTTTAGGGGTTTGGGGGTGGAATTTCGGGGTGTGGGGGTTTAGGCCTTGGAGTTTAGGGTCTGGGGGTTTGGGGTTTCGGCCCTGGAGTTTGGGATTTGGGGGGGGAGGGGGGGGGGGGGGGGAGGGGGGGGGGGGAGGGGGGGGGGGGTTTTGGGTGTTTCGGCCTTGGCGTTTAGGGGGTTTGGGGGTTTTGGGTTTCGGCCTTGGAGTTTCGGGTTTGGGGGTTTGAGTGGAGGTTAGGGTTTGGGGGTTTGGGGCTTAAGGTTTGGGGGTAGAGGTATTATGCTGTTCCGGGGTTCGGTGGTAAGGCGATTCTGGTGGTGAGGGCGCTTCAGGGGTTTCGAGGCTTCGCGTAGAAGGACTGCCAGGGAAGCCGTCTCTCATCCGAAGGGGTGCTGTCTCGGGGCTAGGGTTTGGCGTTTAGGGTTTAAGGTCTAGGGTTTAGGGTCAAGGGTTTGTGGTTGCTTTTTGTTTTTTAGGGTTGGGCTGGTAGGGTTTGGGGTGAGCCGAGTGCAAAAAACGCCAGCACTCCGCCAACCAGGGGCCAGATAGGATCAGGGTTTGACTGAGGGCTTACAAGCCCTACACCCTAATACGCAGGGTGTGTGATTCTGGGGGGGTGTTTACAGCGTTTGAGGCTTATTGAGGCTCAAGGGGTTTGAAGGGTTTGAGGAGTTTTTTGGGGGGGTTCTGGTTTCCGGGGTTTCCCGGATGTCAAGAAACCCTGACCCCAAAACCCTAAAACGACAGAGCCAAAACCCTAAAACCCTACAAACCCTAAAACCCCGCAAACCCCAAACCTTAAAACCCTACAAACCCCAAAAGCCTTTCACCCTACAAGCCCCAAAAACCAAAAACCAAAAACCAAAAACCAAAAACCAAAAACCCTAAACCCTAAACCCTAAACCCTAAACCCTAAACCCTAAACCCTTTCCGCGGGCAGAGCCTTCTTCGGGTCCAGTTCCACGGTGAGCCTGAAAATGTGGTTGTCGGGGGGTTGGGGGGGGAGATCCAGGGTCTGAAGTTGAGGGTCTTGGAGGGTTTAGGGTTTAGGGTTTAGGGTTTAGGGTTTAGGGTTTAGGGTTTAGGGTTTAGGGTTTAGGGTTTAGGGTTGTTTAGGGTTTAGGGTTTAGGGCTTAGGGCTTAGGATAAGGGTTGAGGGCCCCTCAACCCCAAAAGCCTAAACCTTTACATCCTAAACCCTTGAGCCTCCGGTCTTTCAGCGTTTGGGTGGGGACCTAGGGCCTCCATGCTTTCCTTCTATCCTCTGAGAAGGCGTGTGTTACCTGCAGCCCCAGAAGGGGGGAGGGTTAGGGTTTAGGGTATATGGGTTCAAGGCCTCACCTGGGGGGGGGGGGGGGGGGGGTTAGGGTTTAGGCGGGGGGGGAGCGGGGTGGGGGGGGGGATAAACGCTAAACCCCAAATCTTTGTGCAACTGTCCACCCCCCCTTGAAAAACCATCAGCCTGTTGCAATAAAACATCCAGAAGTGAAGCTCACCTGAAAAAACTGTCGGGCATTGTTGGCAGCTTAGTGCCTCATTTTGGGTTTAGGTTGTGGATCCAATTCTACGGGGGGGAGAGGGACTGGCCTTGTTCACCCCCCTCCCTTGCAACACCCTTCAAGGCGCCTGAGGGTCTGGAATAATAGGTGTTCACTTGGGGTTTCGGGTTTAGGGTTTAGGGTTTAGGGTTTCGGATTTAGGGTTTAGGGTTTAGGCTTTAGGACTTAGGGTTTAAGGTTTAGGGTCAAGATCCGTAGTGCAGATTTTGAGTCAGCCACGTGACTGCAGAGGCAGCCCATCCTCTCCCAGGTTGGAGTAGTCGGGCACACCCACCTCGGTCCTGATCTTGAGGGGCTGAGGGCTTAGGCTTAGGGTTGAGTCACCCTAAACCCTAAACCCTAAACCCTAAACCCTAAACCCTAAACCCTAAACCCTAAACCCTAAACCCTAAACCCTAAACCCTAAACCTCAAACCATAGCCCTTGGCAGCTCTGGTAGAGCGAGGTTGAGGGGTTGAGGGCTTAGGGTTGAAAAACGATGGTGCATACGAAACCTTCAGATTCAACCCTAGAAGGCTCGTAAGGCAGCTCGAAGATGGTAACGTAGGGGCCTTAGTAGGGGCCTGACATAGTTAGAATAGGGCTTTTGGGGGGTTGCTCTGGTATACTTAAAAAGGGACAATGAGGGAATACCATTAGAAAGTATTCCGACCCCTATATTATGCCGGTAGGGACCTGTCGCAAGCCCAGCGTCATTCCCGGATACCACGCTTGGCGGACGTTTAAGAGCCCGTCGCCCCTGCCTCAGTGATCTTTCGGAGTCGCCCTAAACCCTAAACCCTAAACACTAAAAATCTGGGGGGAGTTGAGGGTTCCAGTTCTGGGAAGGACCCGGTGGGATCCGGAGGCCCTGGAGTCTGGAGGATGTCACCCTACACTCTAAACCCTAAACCTAAACCCTAAACCCTAAACCCTAAATGCCGAACCCTAAACGCGCGGAGCGCTGTTGGAAGGCCCCAGAAGACCTCCGAGCGGCACTGGGACTCCCCCGGAAGTCTCCCAAAAGCAAAGCCCTGTTGGGGTTTAGGGTTTAGGGTTTGGGGTTTAGGGTTTAGGGTGTAGGGTTTAGGGTTTAGGGTTTAGGGCTTAGGGTTTAGGATTTCAGGGTTTAGGGTTCAGGGGTTTAAGGGTTTCAGGGTTTCAGGGTTAACAGAGATGGGAGGGGTTGACAGGTTTACGGTTGAGTGCTCTAGCTCTGCACTCCACGTTTGAAACAAGAAGGAAGTACTTGCTGAAAGCATTTCCCTCAAAACCACGAAGTCGTTAGCGGCACTGCGTTAGCACTGCAACCCTAAACCCTAAACCCTAAATCCTACACCCTAAACGCAGTAAACGAGCCCAGGCACGTCTCCACAGGACGGCCTCCTCAGGGTCGCGGATTTGCCTCTGAAGGCCGCCAATCCTGGAGGGGGCATCTTCCCAGAGAGCCCAAATCCCCTTAATTAAGGAATGTACTTAACAAAACAGGGATCCTTAGTATGACTCAAGGTCTCTTCCTTAAGTAAGGAATATACCTTGACTATATATAGGGATCCTTAGTATGATTTAAGGTAATGCACCTTAACTATGTAGGGATCTTTAACATGATGTAAGGTATCTTCCTTAATTGAGGGGTATTTGGCTGCTTGGGTTTCTTCTGTGCTTGTGACAATGCGCTGCGGGCCTTTGGGCGCATGTGGAGGTGCCCTACTTGAAGAATTCTGGGTAGTTAGACGTAGGGTTGTAAGTAAGATAACCTATATTGAAACCTTCAGTAAGGTACTTATAACCAAGTTATATCTGCCCATGAACCTTCAAGTACATTGCGCTCAGCCTTCAAAGCCTAAACCCCCTAAACACCCCCCAAACCCTAAATCCTAAACCCTAAATCCTCAACCCCAACCCTAAATCCCGACTGCGGATCCCGAAGCCAAGAGACGCCCCCGGAACGTCTACCTTCTCAGTTGAGGAGCTTAGGCTCTGCGGGGCTTTGGAGGGGTTCTTTAAGCAATCCCTAAACCCTGAACCCTAAACCCTAAACCCGAAACCCGAAACCCGAAACCCAAAACCCTAAACCCTAAACCCGAAACCCTAAACCCTAAACCCTGGAGGGTAAACGCTGAAGCTTCATG